ATAATGTCCTTTTAACACATCAAGCTCAAGTCAGTCTGAGACTGAGCAGTCAGGCTCAGTAGCTGGCCAACTGAATTGTAACCAATATAAGCTACAAGGTTCAGAAAGGGAGGTAGCACCTATGTTTTCCCTCTCATTTTCTGAATTACAGAAGATCACTGGACTGTGGCAGAATACCGAGGGAGGAAAAGAACAACATGCCGAGGAGCAGGTGAGGAGGGACTGTAAGTGGCCATAATAGAGAGAATTCAAACGTGGTGGAGAGGCAGTGAAAGTCAGATAATGACTGGGAGATCTGGAAAGAGAAGATGAAAGGAGACTAAGCAAGGGGATGAGGCATGAGAAAAAAAGCAAGGGAGAAAGTGAGAAAAATGAAAGATAAGTCTAAGGAATAGAACATTTGAGGAAAAGGGCATATTTCTTCCTCCCGTCTTCCCTCTCCCCCCACACAACCTTTTACTGCACTCCTCCCTGCTACCCGTTAATGCTTTAAGCGAAGAAGGCTCTCTTCTAACACAAGGTGCTGTGCTCTCCCTCTGCGATAGCAGGACAAAAAAGGCTGACTGCACATTTCTAACATCTCCTCATCGACTTACCTATAGTGTTTAACCACCCCCTCCTCTGGCAGATCTTATCCATGATGGTGTAGGGTTTGCAGTCAGTAATGGTACATGTTGCAGGAACAGCCCCGAAGTCTTACACAGAGAAGCCACTTTTACAAACAGGTACTGGTATAAAGCACTTGCAGATTGCACATGCCTTATGGGAAAGGAACACAGATACAGTCCCTCCCTTTCCATGGTAAATTATCATTAAAAACGTTCAACAGAATATGAAGAAGGAAAATTAATTTCTTGGCAAGTTTCTTATGTTCTCAGGAAACATAGCAAGCAGCTGAGCTTTTGTTCTAGCTTTTACTGTGGATGAACTCTTTTAGCACTGCTGAAAATGTTTGCATGTTTTCACACAACGTTCTTATACCTGTAGATGCAGATATCTTTCATACAGAATTGAATGACTGGGTGGTTGCCACAAAATTAAGACTGGATAGGACAGGTGACCAGAAACTGGTCAAGGGGTAAGAACACACCAATGAAAGTACATTTATAAAGATTTAGCTCTTGAATACACAGTGCCAAAAATATCTTTATTGTCTTTTCGGGGAGATGACCCATCTACTGAAATCTAATGGGACATTTCCCTATTATCCTTCAGCTATCCAATGAGGAAAAATTATTTAAATATAGCCATTTTCTCTTTTTTTTTCAGTACCAAATAGCTGTAGCCAGCAACATGTGCTTTTTATAAAACTAAAGGCAAAACATTAAAAATAGTATCTATTTTAGCCAAAAAAAGAGGTCCAAACAACTGTCTTCTGAAGTTAGTCAAGAACTACTTTCTGTCTATTTTACCTTAAAAACAAACCTCAATGATTTGACCAACCATTTTGAACATAGTAATTGTGGAGGACAAGAAACATGCTGTCACTAGATTCTTATGTGAACAAAAAATTCCTCATTTTATACTATCCTTCTTTTCAGATCATTGCAGCACGAGACTGGATTGATACTGTTCTTTACTAAACAATTTGTCTGTATCATTATCATTCTGGGCAGTGCCTTCTGAATGCATCCAGGAGACGGAGAAGTATGCAAATTCAAAACACAGATTATTAAAACCACCAAACTAATGACTCACACTTTCATTACTCAAAGAAAATAGTATTTGAAACACTGTTAAATGTGATAGTGGCAAAAATGAAGCACACCGCCCTGCATTTACAGCAGAATGGTATTTTTAAAACACGCCAGTCAACTTTCTGAAGTTTAATGGGTGGCTGAAGTGAACAGAACAGGAGGTTCCTGAGGTTTGAATTATTCCAGGACAACATTGTTGGTGAAAGTTTTTGACAGTGTATTGACTTTCCTTAGAAGTTTTGTTAATAAAAAGGAACTCTAATGGCTTCTTTTTGTTCTTTGGTTTTTTTCTTTTCTTTTCAGTGAGCATTTACAGGCATGCCTGAGAGACTCCAGTTGGTTTCAAAGCTGGATATGGACTGGGATACAAGTAGAGGCAGCAGAAAACTGGTAATGAAGGTGAACCATTCAGTATTCTGATGAAGGTGAAAAATTAGGACTATTTACATAAGTCACAACTTATTTGCATTTCCTGACATTTCTGGTCCTTTTCTCCCTCAGTTGAGAGTTTATGTTATATAACAGATAGATTAATGAATAAAAAACAAAAAATAATAAGCAAAGCGTCCTGCCGTGTCAGTTAGTGATACCTGCATTTTGGCCAAATCGCTTCTCTGCTCTTAACACTGTTTCAAAAACAGATTCAGAGATTTGTGCATTCAGGACAAAGCTTTTAACGAGGATCCAAAACTGAATGTTTAAATACTTATTTGCAAAGGCCCAGTTGATATTTTATACACACTATGAGCAGATTCAAATCTTGCATTTCTGAGTACGCCGCATTCGTAAACCAAGGTACTTTCAGAAACCCTTTAGAACTTGTCCCCCTTGCTTGACTAGCATTATGAAGAAGCTTTAAGATATAATAGGCACACAAAGAATAGTTTCTAATATTTCTACTTGTTTCACAGTAGGCATAATGTATTCTCAAATTATTCTCCCATTTAGATACTCTTTTTGATTTCAAAATGAAATAGAAGTTATCAGAGATAGAATTATATGCCTACTGACTACTGCTTTTAATTATTCTAAACATATCTGGAATTACTATGTAGACTGATATTTATCAGTGCCCATACAGGAGATCTTCTCCCCTTTCTCTCCTCCCCTGCCCAAGTCCCTGCTTTCCTGCAGGACAGGGGAACAAATCACACCAACTCCCTCTAAGTGCACAAGTCACAGAGACAAAATGTCTTTTGCCGTTATTATAGATAGGCTGGGATAGCTCTGCTGCTGACTTCTCCTCTCCATGACAGTAGAGAGGGAAGGTATTAAATACACTAGCAGTTTAGACAGCCCAGGAGGTATTAACACCTACATGAGATGACTCTCAGCAACGTATCAAGCTTGCTTTACCTCCAGGCATAGGACCTAAGAAACTGCACTCACTGACTCTGCCCCAGACCCTGCAGGCATTTGCCCACCCATCCCCTTTTACCCGCGCTGCCTCTCGCCCTCACAGTCAGGTCTCACTGAGCCTTGGAAGAGTTCAAACTTTTTGATTTTGGTATTTTAAAGAAAAGCAGCCCGGGAAGAACCTGTAAAGAAATCCATTTTCATCCCAGTGACAGCTGTAACTTAGGGCAACAGGAGCAGAGACTTTACCAAGCCTTCCTCTGCAGCGTTGCAATGGAGAAAGCATAACACCAGACTCATGAAGTCAAATTAAACAAAATGCCATTAAAAACTTAGCTGCTGAGACAACATTAGATCAAAGCTGACCAAAGGAAAACACAGTCATGAGAGAAGTAATGGCATTAATTTATCTAAGTTATTCCTGAACACTACAGCCTGAATAATAGGAAGAAGTCTCCCTATAAAATCCTCTCTCCCATTTCATTGGCACTGTAACACACTCTAAGTTTGGCAGAAAACACAATAAAGATACTGTAGCTCTACTAATTAACAGGGCCTGTGTATAGGGAAGACAATATATATATAAAAGCAAAAAGACTAATGGCACAACATGGAAACAGAAAACAGGTGGTTTTACAGGACTACATGTATCCAGCTTTCATAAACTGCAATAGCATCAGCTGTGAAGGTGCTGAATGCAACTCACCGGGCCAAAAAAAGAACCTGCTCTGATTTAAATTTGCTCGAATTTGGGTCAGCAGGAAACTGGCTCCAGACTTCCCCTGAGCCGCCGAGGGTAGGACGCTGCTCGCCTCCTCAACTCTGAACAACACTCGGGCACATCTGAGGTGCTATGGCTAAATGCTTAAGATCAGCAGTGGGGATCTCATAAACAAACGTCAAAGTAAATATTTTACCAGGCATATGTAAGTACTTATTAAGATTTACATCATATCTTCAGTGTCCTTGACATTTTACAATAGTGTTTATTTCCTTACTTGCTAATTCACAGAACTGGATAATCTACAAGGAATTTACACATTAGAAATGAGCAAGATTCTTGGGCATAACTTCATAAATACAACATTAGCACAGCAACACTCTAATATAAACATACACAATGCTAAGTAGGAAGAAAGGGCAGTACCTAGCAGTACCAAAATGTTCTCTCTTGCCTAAGGGCAGAGGAGGTCCTGTATGCCACTGTTGTGTGACAACCTGCAGGGACCTCGCTGAAGGCGAAAGGACCCAGTTTGTCCTGTGAAGCAGCGCTCTGCGCTGCCTCTCCGGGCTGAACAGGCAGAGGAAAGCGACTGGGAACTAGGTCACTGAATCAATGACCCTCCAGTTGTATCAGCCCAGCACCCTTGTCAGGGGAGGGCAGATAAAACAATTCCAAGCCTAAGACAGCTCTAAGAAGACAGTGGGATCTAATCTGCAAATGTGGACTCCGTTTCTTTCCATGAAGAAAAAGCCCATGAGTAGTCTGTGTATTGTGACCAATTACAAAGACCAACATGTAGCTTCTATTCACAAACAGTTATTAGTGCTCACATGTAAGACTGCAATGAAAATAAATCCCATTATAATGAGTAATACTATTTTCACCTGGTCACTAATGGGACATAAAAGTCATTCTGAGACATCATTTCATAGTGACACCATATGAAAATGTTTCCAACAAAAACCTGTAAAAATTAAACTCGGGGTTTAATGATTCTTCCATAGTGCGAGGGAGTAGCTGTGAACAGTTTTGGAGAAGGCACACACCGTAGCCAGATGCCGGCTTTTGTTATTCTGTTAAGGATGTCAGTGGCATTTGCTTTTTTTCCTGACTCATCCTTTTACCTAGTGGATATTCTGACCCTTAGTCCTGGCAAACCTAGCAGTACCAAAATGTTCTCTCTGGTACCTCATTAATCACTCCCCTGCCATGTGCTATCTTACCTGCAGATGTAATTCTTCTTGCAGGATTCTTGTAAATTCAGGCAGTTTGGTTTCTCCCTGTCCTCATATGAACACACAGGAACAATAGTCTGCCGTCTCCTTTCTGTACAGGCTACGTCTCGACAGGAGCAGAAGAGCATCCCGTAGCTGTGCTTTGGGGGAACTTTGTCAAAAAATAGCCGGAGGGCCTTATGACACTTCCGCTTGTTACAGATTTCATTAGACGTGCTGCTGGTGCAGGGGGTTATGTAAGCAGATCTGAACCTCTTGCAGGTATCATTTAGGTTACAAGCTTTTGCTGCATCCAAGCAATTGTTCCCCTTTGAAAGTACTGGCTCCACTAGAAAAAACAACACAACAGCAGTAAGAAATGCGTCACATTTATATTGTGTTTTGATGTTTGTGTTTATTTCACTGTTAATGAGATCCTGGTTATATATCTGTTACATACAAAACTTTCAGTGCCAGAAACTGCGACCAGTCCTTACGTTTCTTAGGGTAATGGTTTAACGAGCGAACAAGAGCATAGGCATGCGTTAAGATCAGAATGCTGGCAAATAAATGACGATTACACCGGGCAGGCTGTACTTCATCTTCTTTGTAGCAGACATGCAAGATGAATATTGGGTAAGACTTGGTCTCACTAAAAAACTATTAAAATCGCTGGTAAATTGGAAGGGATACGTTTGGCCTATCGTACAAGAACACAGTGAGAACATGGGCTCCCAACTCTACTTTTGTAAAGCTCTGACATTTTTTATTTTTTCCTTGAACAGTATAAATGACATTCAGTTTCTACACCAGGTAACAACATTTAAATGTAAGTTGGGTACTCCGCAGAATGTAAAAGCCACATGCCTGTTACTACAGTTTTTGAGGTATGAAAACAGCCCACCCAGCCAGAAAGGAAAGCAGGTGCAGCCCCACGACTGCGAGCTCTCCAAGGCCACCCACAAGGCCTGTAAGCTCCATGCTTAGTTAAAGACACTTTATAAGATCTATAGATGCCACCTGAACCCTGGAAGTTTTATGAAGTTTACAAGCTTTGAAGAAGCTGACGTAGAATTAACAAGTGACTGGGAATGAAATGCTTTAAAACAAGGAGTATGCCTCTCACACACACACATGCACACGCTACAACAAGTTATAGGAAAAATTAAACTCGGGTAAAAGTTTAGACTATAATTACACATTTAATTTTGCAATACATTATCCAGATATTAAAACCCAATATATGCTTTGCTTGAAAATGAAGGCAACTGGCATTAGAATGAAAAATTCAATTAAGAATAATCGTAATGCTGCTTTGGATATTAGGAACGCCAACATCACAGATCCAAGAAAATACATTAACTTCCCGTTGCTACAGAATGGGCAAGCTGAACAAAACATTTTGCAAATACCTAAAACTCTGCAGCAACCTCTTAGGGGGGCTGGCCAAAGATAAAACATCTCAAATGATCTAAAGCTCTAAGTTCCTCTTAAAAAAACCTTTTTTTCAAGATCTTCCACCTTTTCCCCAAAACTCAGTCCAAGGCCATTCTACAACTCAGTGCCACTCCTCTACATTCTCCTACCACTTTGCCTCCCATTCCTAGATCAGGACATCAACCTTTTATCTTTTTCCATAGAAGGAAAAGATGATGTAGCTTGGCTGACATGCTGCACCGAGGTACTGCAATTGCCTGAACTGACTGTGCCCAAGATGAGCCTTGGTGCTAGCACATGCTTCACATTATACAAATACATCACCTGCTATTATTCAATATATCTTACCTAGCCAGAAGTAACGCAATGCCTAAGTAGCATTAGATTTTTCACTCTAGTGATATGCTGTAACTAAATTCAGTGGGTTTGTACATTTAACCTTTGTACATTTAACATGCACGCTCCAAGTCCTTCCCAATCCCAGTTTCTTGCACAATAATCTGCAACTTTTTGCTTCTTATCTTCACAAATTACAAAATTATAAACATGCAACATTTGACTATAAATAACAGAGCCAGGCATTTCTCATAATAGCAGCCTACCACAGTTTAAGCAACACCAGATGCAGAAGAGATGATATCCAAAATACAACCCTTTCATAAAATTGTAATGTTTTTACATAAAATGTTGCATTACATGAGCTTACAACTATAATCTTAACTATGAACTCTCAAAGTTTTTTTTATACAGTATATAGAATTATACATTTAGTACAAATATAATTACTATGTAATCTGCAGGGCATATAATTATGCAATATATGAATAGTACATGCTAATTACTATGTGATTGCAGAGTAATTACATGGTTATTTGTGCCTGGGAGTCAACTGCTGAATGCCACTCTTTAAAGCAAGATTCCGTGGAAGAGCTTCGAATGGGGCATTTCAATATGAACAGACATCAGCTTACTGTATGATCTATTAGAAAGCATTCTTTAAAAGAAAACCCAAGATGTAATAAAGCACCTCTTTGCTGTTAATCATATAAATGTTTTCAATTAAGGGTCCAAAATGTAGTAAATGCTGACACAGAATTAAAAGGCACTGTGAATATGAACACCTCAAAGATCAAAAGGGACAGGTTAATCAATCTTTTTTAAAAATTGAGCACAAGCCAATTCACTGATGACACAAACAGCAGTGAAAGTTATCTTGGATAAAAGTTGAATTAGGTGCAAATAGTTCACAAACAATAGTTACGTTCGTTCATATCTTTCACACAATTTCTATCTAGTCAAGCCTCGCATCCCTCTACATGTCAACTCTGAACATTGACCAAGTCTTTTGGTGTTTGGGGTTTTTTTTCTAGAACTACCCCTGGCTGTAACTTGCCACTAGCCTTTTCTATTTTGATACATATGTCTCTAGCTATTGTTTCTGGCATATTTATCATCACATTATACAAATTATTTCTACCTTTTAAAACCAAGACTAACATACAGAGATATGCATCAACTGCATTTGAATTAAACAAGACTGTCTAAACCAACTCTTCTTATTAATGCCAGCTTCTCCCAAGCTTTTAAATTGTGTTTTAATGCAAAACGTATGGTTCAGAACACACTTTATGCTTTATTTTTATTGCAAAAGTACAACATAGTTATTCCTAAGTCCTGTGGTAACTACAAACAGTTAACAATACTGAGAGTGTTTCTGAGGTTTACTTACGCAGCAGTAATACATAAGGTCAAAATTTCACCCAGCTTCTGTTCTGCAAAGCTTAAATTATTAAGACAAGGCAGGAGTTTGGCTCTTATTAGGTACTGACTACGTTAAGAGAAAATGGATCTAATCCAGAGCTACTTTTCCTGCCAGCATCCTTTGGGAAAGGTCTGTAAGCAGATCCTTTTTCGGTTCCCCCCTCTCTTGGGGTACTTGGATATGGATTGAGGGCGGTCAGAGCAGCAGCCTGGGACAAGTAACGATTCCCTCCCACCACCATTTCCCCATGCAGAGCTTCCTCTCTCCCAAGTCCATTTTGCCTTGGGCCCATTCTGGAAATCTCTGCCAAACCATGCAGCTCTCCGCTCCTGCCAAATCATTGCAGACTCCGAAGTAAGTTACTTCCAGGAAGGTGACAAGTGATGCCTCATGCCCGTGTGCGAGCCACTGGTTCCCACCCATGGCAAGGGGCCCAGCAGAGCAGATCTGCAAACACCAGGATGCTGCCTCCCACCAGAAGTCACCAGCAGCTGGGAGCTGCTTCGCTGGTATGGGTGCTACCCTGATGCGGTGCAGGCAGAGTCAGGAAGAACACAGCCAGAGCCAGGAGCTGCTGCCTTGGTGGGAAAGCACCCGTAGAGTTAGGATGCCTAAAAATGTCCTCCTACCAGGCCGTTTGCTGTACGCTATGTGCAAAAACTCTGAGGCTTGAGCAACAATTGGCTTACTAACTGACCTCTACGTGGATCACCGTCTCACAGCTCTTCTACTGCACATGTAACACACGCATGCAAGGTGAGATGTTTTTTCTGATTAATTTTACTGATGAAAAAGCAGGCCTTGTATTTAGTATAAGGTGTAACCACTTCGGTATTCGCTATCTCCTGAACCCCCCTCACCCTGGCCCAACATTGTTACAGCTGCAACATCTCTGGACTCAAGCTCCCATACGACAGCAGAAAGAGCCAGCCAAACGCTTGTCTTTCATCCAGAGATGTTTCTAGAGTTTTAATAGGGCTTCCTCTGCCCCGTGTGATCTTCCTTATGCTTCACCCTCTTTCACAGTTTCTTCACCTTAATCTTTCATCTTCCTTGCATTTCCATTTCTATTTCATTTCTGCACCTACTGAGCCTTTGGCTGGCTCCTCAACTCCTGTTAACCCCAGGGTGCACAAGAAGGGATTCTCCGTGGATATTGGGAGCTTCTTACTCATACTCCCACTAGATGGAAGGAGCGAAAGGACTATTACTTGTTCTATAAGATTCTTATTAAACAGCAAAATGGACACTTAGTTTTCAATTTTCTTACGGCACATAAAAAGCAATTTACTGAGGTTGGCATTAAAATTACCATTACTATTTGCAAGTAATTAGCATTAGTAGGTTTTCTAGGGGTTTTAGTGAAGGGAATGCTGTAAAGAGAGCGGTAAATGTTAATGTGATGGAAAGCAAAATTACAAAGTGATAGAGGTGACCACATGGGTATGGGCCTACTCCAACACAGGTGCAGTATATGGCATATAGGAACCAAAACCTGACCAGAATAAAGAGAAGAACCATGATCCCACTTTAACAAAAGTGCTGCTATGGAGTTCACAAAAGTACTTCTGCTTTGTAAGAAGAGCAGATTAAAAAAAAAGGAAAGCATGGGAAATATTGTCATCTGCAGCTTAATGGATTCAAATAAACTACCATTTTCCTGGACAAATTATTTCTAATCCCAAATGGCAGAGAAAAAACGAGTCACACCTGAGAAATCATGAGACTGATACATGTACATGTTATTCTGAGGTTCTACTTGTCTTCTACTAGCATTTAAAGGTCAGGCCTACTTCAATCCTTTTCCATAATCATAATAAGCTTTACTTTTTAAATTAAAGTTAATACATTATCAGCTATAACCAGGGCTTTCAAAGCACTACCAAATACGACAAGATGCATGTTGAAATCACAATCGACAGCAACAGTAGGTGCACCAGGTGACAAGTATGAGATTGACTCCTGTGTGCAGAGGGCACACCCAGGGCTAGAGCAACAAAAGGACATAAATAAACAAAACTGCCTAAACTGAGACTTTTAGGTTCCCACGACCAAAGCTGGAACATTTTACATTCCTGGTAAGTCATGTAAGTCTTTGATAACACAAATTCCACAGGTGCCTAGAATCCTTTTCTGAATACACCCATAAA